GAGTGCGGAGAGCGGCACCTCACCCTCCTCGAGGTAGGGCCTCACACCAGCCCCCTGCCTGCTTTGCCCCACTTTGCCCCCTTTCATCTCACTTTGCCCCGCCATGGGGCTCCTGGCCCTTCCTCCTTGGTGGCCAGCGGGACTGAGAGCAGCTCAGGGTGATGAGGAGCTGGGATGGAGACAGAGCAGAGCCAGTATGGGGGGTCCTGGCCCCCACCTCACCAGAGCCCCACACAGCTCAGCACAAGCATCGGGGGCACAGGAGCACACTGGGCATGGAGCCCCCTGGGGCAGGCAGATGGCAGGAGCAGGGACATTGTGGGTCTGGGGACATCGCGGGTGCAGGAGCACCACGGGATGGGACCCAGAGACACCAGCACCGGGGTCACGGTGTCACAGCTCCCACAGCCACGCGCAGGCAGTGGGACGGCTGCGTGGATGGGCTGTGAGCGCAGAGTTCTCAGTGTCCCCTTGGCCCCCAGGAGAGGATCTCACAGTGGCACGACCAGAGCAGCCGCTACTCCACGGAGCTGCGGGACTTCAAGAACCAGGTGCTGGGGATGCTGGAGACAGCGGAGAAGGAGCGGGAGGCGATGCGGTCGGAGGCAGAGAGCGCAGCAGTGCGCGTGGACCGCCTGGAGCGCGAGGTGGACTACCTGGAGACGCAGAACCCCGCGCCGCCCTGCGTGGAGGTGGACGAGACGCTGATGGAGAAGCAGGTGGCCACAGCCAAGCAAAGGAAGAATGAGAAATACACCAAGCTGACAGGTGAGGGGCTGCTGCGGCTCCTGGGGTCCCGGGTGCGGGGTTACCCCATGCTTTCCAGCCCACCCAGGCCCAAGTCTCCCCTGTTGCGTGCTGTGGTTTTACGTCCCAGTCTGGTGTCTCTCAGGTGTTCCTGGCACAAACCCTGTGCCCCAGGAGCCACAGCCAAGCCCCAGACCAGGGCCTTGGGCTTCTCCAACACCTCTGGGGCAGGGCTGGGGTGAGGGTGGCCTCCTCTGCCCGGGGACACAAGGGGTGTCTCGATGGCACTAGGGATGGCTCTGCAACCCTGCAGACGGTTGGCAAGGCTGTTGCGTGAGGGCCAGGGTGGGACACAGTGGGACCCGCGTGACTGATGTGGGGTGGGAGCAGTCCCCACTGCAGGACCAAGTGGCTTTCCGGCTTTTACTTTCACGGCTGCCCCACTCTTGCAGACTGCAGCGACACCATCGCAAGCGTCAGAGCCATGAAGATCCTGAAGCGTTTTGGCAGTGCCTCAGGGCTTTGGACCAAGGATGCTGCAGGGAACTCCGAGAAGATCTACGTCTTCGACGGCACCGCCAACGACACGGTCTACGTCTTCCCTCGCATGCGGGAGTTCACCCTCTTCTCTGCCACCCGCAAGGCCGCCCGCATCAAGCTGCCCTACCCCTGGGTGGGCACCGGGCACCTCGTCTACGACGGGCACCTCTACTACATCCGCCAGCAGGGCCCCTTCCAGGTGATCAAGTTCAACCTGGCCAACAAGACAGTGGTGGACAGCTCGGTGTTCCCGGCTGAGGAGCAGATCCCCGTCTTCGGGCTCTCCTCCTTCACCTACATCGAGGTGGCAGCGGATGAGGAGGGGCTCTGGGCCATCTACGCCAC